GAGCAAACAACCTCACTTAATTAAAGAGCATGTTCTACATTGAAAATTGCACAGAGTATAAATACAGAGGCACTTTCAGTTAATTAATATGATATTATTCCACAGAGTAGTTCCGAACAGAGCGTTCATTAAGATTAATTCCGCTTACTGAATCTGCTAAGTGATTCGGTTTTGCCCGCAAGGCAACAGCCGAAATAAAATCTATAACAAGTAAAGGTAGAACGTGGAATTTATATTATATGTTGATATCCTTTATACTTTAACAACAAATAGAGTAGTTATAAAAGTAAACCAACAATGGTAGAATAACAAATGTAAAATAAAAAAGTTGTTACATTGCTTGCTTTACATCTTGCATTTTGATTCGCGTTCGCGCCAAAATCATTTTTTTTTAAATTCCAACCTTGTTTATGGCTTTCTTGACGGCCAGTGCGATATTAAATATTCGTCCACAATTGCAACCTACAATTAATTTCCTTAGTTATTTTATTATCCTTATACATACATATTTAATCTAAATATGCTCTTGTAAGTTATTGAAAATATTTTTACAATTGTTGTCAGCGCCATCTATTATCAATTATTGCTTAACCAAATAGACTACACTATGGAGGCAACTGTTCGATAGTTAATACCTCGGAAGCCTTCCCTATGCAAATCAATCTAAACTTCTACAACTTTGTAAAACAAATACCAAGTTATCGTAAAGTGCAAACACTTGAACTGCGTCAATTTAAAGTTGTTACAATTGTCAACTTTCACTTGTTAAAAATACGAGTTTCAAGGAATTAATCAAAACACCTGTGTATTGAGACACCTTTTTTATATAGTACTAACTTTTGCACGCGACTTCATCCTCACGGAATTGAAAAAAATAAAAGTAAGTAGCCTATGTGTTCTTCCAGACTATACTCTATATCTGTACCAAATTTTACCGAAATCCGTTCAGCCGTTAAGGCTACAAACTCTAACAAACAGCCATTCATTCATCTAAACTTTCGCATTTATAATATTTGTATGATCTTTTTTCAATATAACATACAGACTTTATTTAAGGGCTAAAACATGTTAATAATACGCAAATTAACTATATTGTTTTACGTAGAAAGTACAGTCAGCATCGTTCGCGGTATATTAATTACAATAAACTGACTCATACCATCGGTTTCCAACTTAGTCTCCTGCCTTTTTTTAAACACTATTAATATTAAAACTTATAACAAATTTAGGCTATCTAAAAAGAAGCCGTGGCTGTTTTATAATGTTATTTTGTTATATGACCTTTAACCTCTTGGGAAGGGGGGTGGCTGAAAACCAGCTCGACACTCTCCAGGATCTCAACCAGTATCGGTTAAGCTGAGCCTCCCCCTTTTGCCATCTGTTATAATTTTTTCATGTATGTTTTTTTATTTTGTACAACTCTGTGTATTCTTGGATGGCAATAAAGACGTTTTTTTTTTTATTTTTAACCAACAATGTACCCGATTGTACATTTAAAATGACTTTACAAAACTCATTGTGTACTCGGAGTTACAGCCGACTGGGCACGACCACTCTATTTTTAATTACTGACTTCCAAACGTATTCACTGACGTTGTTATATACGAGTCGAATAGATTGAAAGATCGTAAACAGAGTTTTAAATTAACATATTTTTAATTTGATTTTTTCCAGTCCATGACATAAAGTTATTTACTTTCGTTTGTATTTGTTCATGTCGACGTATCATCAAAAGAACTGTAGCATTATATCTTAAAAATTCCACATTTTTATTGACTGCTGGACCGGAAGAATTGATTTTTTACTGAGATACAGTGGTAGAACCCGCTTTAACATCTTCATACGAATGTGTCGGCTCGCACGGTGTCCACGACCACATAGAAGACAGGTGTGAAGTGGGAGCAATTCCGCCAACAGTCTGATGAGTGTAGTGCCGGAGGCCACAATTAGGTCCCTTTTCATTACCACCCTTTTTCTTTTATTTAAGAAATTTCTATGGGCAACGGTTTCTTCGCCGGTTTGGTTGATTTAGGTGGCCGCTTGCTCGTTTGCTATTATATTGTAAATCGTATACAACATGCATGTATTTATGTTATTACAAAGTAACATGACATTTGGCAAATGCATACAGGAAATAAGCGCTTTAAATCCCCCATCCCTAGTACGTCTAGACAACGCGTATGGACGTCCGTGGCTATTGTTAGAAAAATCTCTCATATTCGAATCTCTTTTGCTGTATCTCGCAATATGTCCGGCAAAGGCTTGTTTATCCTTTGTTATGCCATAACTCTGAATGCACTCACAATATGAGAAAAAACAACGTAAAGGTTTCAGAGCAACGAACTAAATTTTACGAAGTACTGTCGAAAGCTTACAATAATATAAAATGATGTGATGCATATTGTATGAGAGTATCTCTCAATCGAGTGTGTATCTCTACAAAGCTAGAAGTGCTTAAAGTTTTCTACTATAACTAGTCTGTAAATTTAAAAAAAATAATCATACATTATACTAATATTATAATGCGAATGTTTAGATGAATGTTTGTTAGAGTTTGTAGCCTAAACGGGTGAACGGATTTTAATGAAATTTGGTATAGATGTAGAGGATAGTCTGGAAGAACACATAGACTACTCAGTTTTTTTAATACCACGCGGACGGAGTCGCGGAGGAAAACTAGTAAAAAACATATTCTATGTTACTCACTCATAACGTAGCTTTTTAATCGTGAAAGAGATTATAAAATTGGACTAGTAGTTTTTGAGTTATTTCAATTCGTATAAAAAAAATAAAAACATGTCCTCTTTATTATATTAGTATAGATATAGACAGATAATAGAGAAACATACTCATGTTTATTGTTATTTATAGTTACGTATTTTTAGTAGTAATTTTCATGTATTTCGCATTTTCTCTTCCAATAAAGGTTGGCGACAGTGGGCTGGTCTTAAAAATGACGCAGAATATTGTGGTTTATAAATCCACATGCGCTGAAATCCCATGAATGGGATAAAGCCAGAGAGAAGATGATGATGACGTCATAAGATTAAAATACTTGCTTATAAAAAGATTAATCCAGAAGTTTTACAACGTCAGTTGACAATAGTAATAGACAGTAGCAATTGTTTACAATAAATCTGTCCAAGCTAATCCGTTGTTAGACAAGGTTATTTGTAGAGCTTCAACTTAGGTATAACTTAAGACGTATAGAAATTGTACATCACTGGCTTGCCGCCAACTCGAGTACTTTTTCACTTTAAAACTTCGGCTGCGGTTTTTGTTCAAGTTTCTTTTGTTTCTTTTTAATTTCACATTATTCTAACGTTGCCTCGAACTGTTGTATTTTTTTAATCTATACACACTAGCTTTTACCCGTGACTACGTCCGGGTGGAATTAAAAAAACACAACTAGATATACATGTGTATTGAGAGACACAAGTTTTTAAGCACTCTAACAATGTGAAATCAAATAAAACAGAACAAAAACGTAAAATAGTGTATCATTCTACAGTGGTAGAGTCCGCTTTAACATCTTAGCACTGCAGGGCTGGCTCGCCCGGTGCATTACCACGACCACACAGAAAACAGGCGTGAAGTGGAAGCAATTTCGTCTTATGAGTGTGGTGCCGGAGGCCTAATTTTAGTTCCTTTCCCTTTCCATCCTTTTCTTAAGAGGAAAGGATGGGAAGGAAAAGTGGATTTGACGGTGGAGGAGACGCATAGGAAGGGGAACTATCCTCTTTATGTGCGTCTCCTCCTTCATCAATGAAGGGTAGACAACGCATCTGCAATTGCGGATGTTTATGGGCAGCGCTTTCTATTTCGGTGGATTCAGGTGGCCGCTTGCTCGTTTGCCACTTTATATTATAAAAAAATCATAAATAAAAACAAGTAACGTAAAAATGCTTTCATTAGAATTCATGTTTTAATAAAGTATTAGCAATACATACCACTTTACCTTACTTCTCATTTCTATTGATGAATCAATGAAGTGAACACTTTCACAGTTGAAAAACAACACAACATTCAGACAAAAAAAAAAGATTTGTTTAACACACAAATAAGTTTCCAAAACTTAGTTACTATTTACAAATAAATCTTTGAACACTATTCACTTTATAACAAACATATTTAATACCGATTTATGTCTTATAAATATTTTTACTTGAAAGTAAGGAACATATAAAAGTCTTCAAAACATAAACTTTAATGAGAACAATTGATAAACCCACGATATTGGAAATTATTTAATTACAAATTAAAACCGCAAGAAAAAATCTTATTAATAGAAGTTGTACAATAGTTTAATATTAAATTTAGTTTTGATAATAATATTAAAATGCGTTGAATTTAATAAAGTTGATTGAATCGGACTGAGGTGTGTCGCGGCCGGCGTTTACTCTGACGAGTGGTCACCAAGTGCCAAGTGATACATTTCACCCTTAAAAATACACCTTTGTGGTTTAATTTACTTTGTCAAGCGTTTTTATACATCGTATTCTTATTTTATTGTCATGTAAAATTTCCTAACGCAGAAAATAAAAAAAAACTTCTAAGTTCAAACTCTACCTTTCAAATTAATGCCAGAGACCCACAAAACATATTAGATAAAAATACAGCAACATCCGCTATCTCTTATGAATTAACCTGCTTGTAGCCATCTTTGTGCGTCAATTCGCCCACGTCACATTTTTTGTATTACAAGTTTTCTGTACTATCACTTAACTTACGTTAACGTGTAACATTTTACATTTCTCTAGTCGAAAATTGCTAATCTCATAACTAAGGTTAAAAAATTTCCAACGAAAATATTAAACACCTCTGAATTTTTTGACAACCCTAAATTGCGTCTATGGTCAACAAAAAAAACTTGTAAAAGCATTAGGGTACTGTAGTTGTTTAATGGTAACTCATACAAAAAGATAGGTAACTGTTTCGAATGTGATTTTAAATTGATTCCCGTTATTATGTGTCTTGTTGAACATTGTCAGGTTTAATAATCAATTGTTCCTACTAGAATATTTGAGCAAATATTCATTGACTTTAGGAAATAATAGCTGCTTTATAAACTGACTGTACGTGTTGTCCAAATGGTTCCATGTAGGACGTCTCACTTCGTAGACCTCCGCGACATTAGGCAGCTGAGAGGCGAGCCATTTCACATCTCTAGGGTCAGCCACGAAGTCATTTCTACCGTAGAAAAACACCGTCGGCATACTCGTGCGATTCAACCTGTACGCTGGAGGTACAGTACTGCCGTACAACTCTAGGTTCCTATCAGGTCCATAATCGTACTTATTGAATGAATCCATATTTTGCCCGTAAAATGCTATAGTCTTCGCAGATGAGCCTGCGGGTGTATGGCCGTATAACGTCTTCACTGTCTCAGTCAATATTGAACCTGGATCATAAGAATCTATCAGAAATAACGCTGCTTTACATAAGGTCGCTGCGAAAAAGTTATCCTTACAAATAATAGAGGCCAACGACTGAATGATGCCGCCCCGAGGTAACACCTCTAACTCCTCAGGTCGCTTCAATATGGGGAATATTAACGTGTAGAATTTTATATACAATCGCAAAGGTAGAGATCTGAAATACTTCAATCTAACTCCTGGAGCTATATTTATGAATACCTTCACTTTCTCGCAAGCATTTGTTTCTGAACACGTGATGTACAATATCCCCGCTCCTTGCGAGAAGCCGATAAAGTTGAGTGCATTCGATCTAGTCTTATTCAAAATGTAGTCAATGGTAGCGGGAACATCAAATTTTCCTATTTCATGAGTACTGAAATCCCAGAACTGTGAATCAGTATCTGGATTTAGTATAACATGTCGACGTCCGTATTCCGTTCCGCGGACGTTTCCCGCCCATGTATCGTAGCAAGCGTCGGCCAAGAGATACACCAGACTTGAAGAAGGACCGGCATCTAACCAAGAGTCTGAATCCACAACAAATCCTGGCATCAGTAAAACAGGAGTCTGCCTCACCGGTCCAAAGCAGCGTCTGCCTTTCGGTATACGATAAATCGTCAGAATATAACCATCCTCTGTCACAAGTGTATGTTCTTCAGATAAATATCCATTACTTCTTGTTATTCCAGTGAAATTATAAAATACTCTTCCAGGATTTATTGAAGTGTTAGAAGAAATTGTTGAGTTTTGTCCGAAAACATTTTTCAGAAGAATTAACAAAAAAACACTTCGAACAGGACGTGCACCTTTCGATTCCATTTTGTTATTACAGTCAATTACAGACAACTTTAGAAATTCTTAAAAACTCCAACATTCAGATAACAATTTTATCAAAATTATGTTCTTTAAGCAGCTAATTTAAAAACAAATTATATAGATATTTAGAATGTCGTGCGTCATTGAAATAAATGTAAAAGTTACATGTCGATAACAAACTCTTTTTTTTGGGAAACAAATAATCAGTTGTTTAAATAAGTCCACCGAGTTATTGTTTAGGCTGAGATCCAAAGGATTTTTACTACCCTCATTAAAGTTTCTGATAAAATCTATATTTTATGAACTTACACATATTTTTAAACATGTAACTGTTTTGTCTAAAGCCTGGCAAGGCTATGTTCAATTTATCTTTAAAGTGGTCAAGTTTTGAGCCAAAACCCTTCATCGAGCTTCCTGAAAATTTTGTTACTAATCTATAAAGTGTAATGTAAATATAACTCTAAGGTGGTGGTGCCTATTTTTTCGTGGCATGAATTTGATAAAATAAAGGTTTTATCATGAAATCTGATTTGGGTAGGTCTCCATTATTAACGAATCTCTGTAACTACAAAGCTAAATTCAAAATCAAAACTTTATTAATAGTCCAAGCTTGGTATGACGCAAATGTAGTTACTAACATGATAACTTAAACAAAAAAACATGGATAAAAACTATAAAAAATCATGTCTATCAATAAACATAATCCAATCATATAAGAACAAAAATCTTCATTAAGCATTGATAAAATCTATCCATTAGTTCGCACCCTGTTAGTGTATTGTAGCAGATATTGATTTATTTTAAGAAAAATCTCTAACCGAATGAACTGGCTATAAGTGTAATCCAGATGGTTCCACGTTGGTCTTCTTACTTGGTAAGTTTCTAGCACATTCGGTAGCTGAGTGGCGAGCCACATCACGTCTTTAGGGTCTACTAGATAATCGTTTCTACCATATGTTAGTACCACTGGTATGGTGGTGCGATTTAGCGCATATTGTGGCGGCTGAGCGCTGCCGTAGATGGCTAGATTTCTACTTGACCCGTAGTCATATTTGTTAAAATTTGAAACGTAGTTCTGGGCATAGAATGCAACATTCCGAGCTGATGTTCCTGCGGGCGTGTGACCAAACGACACTCTCACAGTCTGTGTAGTAACGGACAGTGGGTCGTAGGAATCGATTAGACTTAGAGCTAGCTTACAAATGGTAGTGGCGGCTGTGAAGTCCCTGCAAATGTTCGAAGCCAATGTCTGAACAAATCCACCTTTAGGTAGAACCTCTAACTCAATGGGACTGGTCAGTAACGGTAATATTAAATTATAAAAATTTACTAGCAGTCTGAGCGGTAAGGACCTGCTGAACAGCAGCCTCACTGCCGGCGCCAAACCTATGAATAATTTAATCTTGCTGCAGTATTCCGTTTCGGAACATGTAATAAAAAGTAAACGGGCCCCCTGAGAATATCCAACGTAGATGAGCTCATTGGAATTAGTTCTATTCAAAATGTAGTCGACGAAAGCAGGGATATCGTATTTACCCATTTCATTGCTCGTGAAATTCC